ACAGTGTTTCTCTATACAGGCAACAGACAGTTGGAATTTCAAATTTAAAATCCATCCACATATTTACAAGAATGTGAAAGAACATAGGGCTAAGATTACTGAAATGTGTGTAAGGCCTAATGTCAAAGTCACGAAGTAGATTTCAGGTTTGTGATCCAGCATGCAAGGAATTGTCACTCCATTCTAACGACAAGTAAAAAGCGGAACAAATTGGAAAAATCAGCAGCTCTTCTTAGTACCACTAGAGAAGAAGTAAGGTCACAGCGCCAACTACTGTCCCCACCCCCATCCTCAGCTGGAGAGACAAACAGGCAGAAACACGACATCCAGGAACTAGAATAGAAACCCGTGGGTACCAGTGCCAGGGTAATTGCTGGAGGTTCAGTGTGGACGAACCAGGAGTTAGGAACCCCACCGGGGCTTTGCTGGGTCCTTATGGTGAACATTGGAGAAAAATCCCCTCGTGCTTGTCGAGGGGGGTTGTGAAAGGAACCTTTGAAATACACCAGAGCACTCTGTTCCTAACAAGGCCAGTCCTAGAGAGAAACCGTTGCCAGAACTTAACCTACTGGGGGGGGGGGGAGGAATCTCCAGCTCCTGCTCCCTCTGACCTTCCATCTGGAGGAAGTAAATACCCTGCTCCAGCTGTCCAGTCCCGCCTGAGGGGGGTGGGGGACTAGGAGCAGTAGCGAAGTTCACACTCCAGGGCCCTGTAGGCTTATTTAAAAGCCGAGACTAATCACAGGACTAGTGGAAGCTGCCCCTCCCTGCCCCTCCCTGCCCCGTCTTACTACTGCATTACTACAGGCCTGTTTATCATAGTTGTTTCACCCGGGATATCACGTCCACCTTTCAACAACAGCAGCAACAAAAAAGAAATCACAAGACACACCAAAAGGCAAAAACCATGATTTGAAGAGTCTAAATAAACATCAGAAGCAGAGTAAGAAATGTTCAAATTATCAGATCAGGAATTTTGCAAAACTACCATTTTGCTTAGGGCTTTAATGAAAAAAGGTAGGAAAAAATGCAAAAAGGTAGATAATATAAGCAGAGAAATGGAAATTTTGTGAAAAGGAAGGGCTTGAGATTGAAACAGCAACAAGAATGCCTTCGATGGGCTTACTAGTAGAATAGACATCGCTGAGGACAGCATCACTGAGCTTGAGAATATGACAAAAGAAGCTTGAAAACAGAAAAGCAAAGAGAAAAATGACAACAAAAATCTCCAAGAATTTGGGACAACTACAGAGGAAGTGACATAAGCATAATGGGAACACCGAAAGGATAAAAAGGGGGGGGGCAGGGACTGAGAGAAAGAATAAAAGTAATATTTGACGCAATAATGACCAAGAATTTCTCCCAAATTGATGTTAGATACCAAGTCACAGACCCAGCAATCTCCAAGAACACCAAATAGGATAAATATTTAAAAAAAACAACATTTTTTTTTTTAATGTTTGTTTATTATTGAGAGACAGAGTGCAAGTTTGGGAGGGGCAGAGAGAGAGGGAGACACAGAATCCCAAGCAGGCTCCAGGCTCTGAGCTGTCAGCACTGAGCCCGACATGGAGCTCGAACCCACAGACCACGAGATCCTGACCTGAGCCAAAGGTGAACACTTAACTGACTAAGCTACCCAGGCGCCCCAGGCATCCGATACTTAAAATTCTGAAAATCAAAGATAAAATTTTGAAAGAAGCCAGAGGAAATAAACATGTTACCCATAGTGGAGCAAAGATAAGAATTACATCGAACTTCTCCTTACAAATTATGCAAACAATAAGAGGGTGGAGGGAAATGTTGAGAGACCAAAATCTGCCAACTTAAAATTCTGTACTCTGTGCCATTCTCCTTCAGAAGTGAAGGAGAAATACAGACTTTCTCAGACAAAAGTTTAGCGTGTTTGTTGCCTATAGACCTGCTTTGCAAGAAATGTTAAAAATTTTTCAGAGAAGGAAAGTAAGTCAGAAAATCAGATATACAAAAAGAAGATTGTCAGAGACAGAATGAGCAAAGATAAAGTAGAAAGTTTTAGTCATCTTATTAATTGATTTGTCAAGAGTTTGTTCGAAATAATGGCAACAATGTATTTATGAATGTGTGTGTTTGTTTAAATGAAGTGAATGACAGCAATGATACAAGGAACAGGCAGGAGAAATCAAGAATATTTTGTTATTGGGAGGTACTTGCATTACTTGTGAACCTGTATAGTCTTATTTGACAGGAATCTGGGGTTAGTTATAAATGTATACTGTAGACTCTAAGGGAACCACCTAAAAAAGTAGTATAATTGATAGGCTAAGAAAGGAGAGAAAGTAGAATCATACAAAATGTAATTTTATTCGTAACTGCCAAAACTTGGAAGCATCCTAAATGTCCTTCAGTAGGTATATGGATAAACAAGCCGATACATTTAGACAGTGGAATATTACACCATACTGAAGAAGAAATGAGCTCTCCAACTATGAAAAGACCCAGAGGAAACTTAAATACGTATTACTAACTGAAAGAAGTCAATCTGAGATACTAATAACTACATGACTCTAGAAGAGACAAAACTATGGAGACTCTAAAGGGATCAAATACACAAGGGAGTTAGTGGGGAGAAAAGAACAGGTGAAGCACAGGGACTTTTAGGGCAGTGAAACTATTCTCTATGATTCTACAATGATGGATGTATATCATTACACATTTGTTAAAACCCATGTAGCGTTGACCACAAAGAGTGAACCCTGTTGTGGAGTGTGGACTTTGACACTGGTAATGATGTGTCAGTATAGTTTCATCATCTGTAAGAAGCATACCACCGTGGTATAGGATTTTGATGGGAGGTTGTGGGTGGGAGATTAGTTAGCGACAGAAAGTCCATGGGAACTCTCTGGACCTTCCACCTAATTTTGCTATAGACCTAAAGCTGCTCTTTAAAAAGTAGTCTGTTAATTTTTAAAAGTACAAGAAATTGCTGAAATTAAAGGAGGCCTAAACATATGGTGAGATAGGTCATGTTTACAAATCAGAAAATTCACTGTTAATACCATGTCACCCAAATTGTTCTATACTTTTTTTTTAATATTTTTATTTATTTCTAGGAGAGAGAGAGAGAGAGAGAGACAGCGTGACCAGGGGAGGGCCAGAGAGAGAGGGAGACACAGACTCTGAAATAGGCTCCAGGCTCCGAGCTGGCAGTCAGCACAGAGCCCGACGCGGGGCTCGAACCCACCAACCGCGAGATCATGACATAAGCGAAAGTTGGACGCTTAACTGACTAAGCCACCCAGGCGCCCCTTGTTCTATACTTTTAATGGAGTCTCAGTCAAAATCCTGATGGTGTTTTTAATAGAAAGTAACAAGCTGATTGAAAATTTATACAAAATGCAGAACACCTAGAAGATGAAAGCAGTGTTCAAAGAACAAAGTTGGAAGACACGCAGTACCTAAGTTTAAGACTTTTTATAAAGTTATAGTCATTAAGACGGTGGTGTTTAAGATAGACTTACACATCGGGGGACAGGCTAGAGAATATGCGTATCATTCCTTGGGTTACAACAAAGATCCCAAGGCAGTTTGTTGGAAAAAAAAAGATAGTCTTTTCAACAACTGCTGCAGGAATAACCAGAGGGGAAAAGTGAACTTCCTCTCTTACCTTACACCATATACAGAAATAATTTCAAATGGATGATAGACCTAAGTACAAAAGCTAAAACTTAAAACATCTATAAGAAAGTGGTGTAGGGGCACCTGGATGGCTCAGTCAGTGAACCGTGCATCCAACTTCGGCCTGGTGATGATCTCACGGTTCGTGAGTTCAAGCCCTGCATCGGGCTCTGTCCTGACAGCTCAGAGCCTGGAGCCTGTTTCAGATTCTATGTGTGACTCTTACTCTGTCCCTTCCCTCTCTCTAATAAACATATAAAAAAATTTTTTTAATTTAGAAAGTGGTATAACTGCATAGAAAATTCATCTAACAATTTTATGGGGTTAATGAAATTTTTGTCAGGATTTTCTTAACAGAGATACTGATTTTAAATATCAAACTCATGAAAGTAGTAGGGGCCCCTGCGTGGCTCAGTTGGTTGAGTGTCCGACTCGATCTCAGCCCAAGTCTTGATCTCAGAGTTGTGAGTTTAAGCCCTGTGGGAAATTATGCCTAGTGTGGAGCCTGCTTTTTAAAAAAAAGAAAAAAGAATTATGTTTAGTCTTATTTGATTTTAGGGCACCCGGGTGGCTCTGTCGGTTAAGTACTCGACTCTTGATTTTGGCTGGCAGTTGATGAGATTGAGCTCTGTGCTGACAGCCAAGAGCTTACTTGGGATTCTCTCTTCCTCACTTTCTGCCCCTCCTTCATTCTCTCTCCCTCCTTCCCTCCCTCTCTTCTCTCTCTCTCTCTTTCCCTGTCTCTCTCTCCCTGTCTCTCAAATAAATAAACTTTAAAAAATAATATAAACTCATGAAAGTGGAGTCACGGTCAGATGGGCGCTGAAGACATATTCTGTAACCATAATCAGCATCATTTACCAACTGTGTTTAGTAAATGTGTGGTAGATATTTCTAGTATAGTGATAAAATGTAGAATAGTGGCAGAACTAATTTTTTAATAGCCTTATTTGTTGTAGCCCTGTATCTGTAAGAGTCTTAATGGGTTTCTTTCAGTTATACTTTTCATTTTCATGAAGGCAAGTATATGTGCTAGAGTGACTTTTGTATGTTTTGAACATTTATGTATATTGTGTACTTGTAGATTGTATATTTGAATTCATTGTAAATAGGTCTGTAGTAAGTTTTAAGGATCCATTAATGGACGCTTTGGGTTGTGTAACTGGCAACACACAGGGATTCTTGGGTATTTGGTTTTGTCATCTCTGTTCCCCTCCGCCCACAATTGTTAAAGTGTGTCAGTTATGAAATGTTAAGTCAGAATTCTGACCATCTATTACATGTTTCAGCCTAATGATGCATGCTTAGTTTATTTTTGTTTTTAATTTTCTTTATCATTTTAGTAACAATGATGGTGTTATGTTGATTTCTGTGGAAAGTCCTAATTTGACAGCTCCAATTACATCAAATCCAACAGGTATCTTAAGTTGATTAAACTATGATCTATCAAATTAGAAAGCCTGAAAGTCAGTTTTTGTTTCAAATAGAGAATTGAATATTATCTTTCAATAAAATAAATATTTTAATTCTACTTTCAAAAATGTTTTAATTTATATCTGTGGTTAATATCTGAATAAATAAATAATTCCTTCATATAATAGAAGTTTCTTTTTAACCTCATGTTTATCAACTTATGGCCTTTTATTTGTTTATTGTATTTAATGGCTTTGTTAGTTATAAGACTATTTACCCTTTCATGTACATAATTTTTGCATGTTTGCTCTGGCCTGTGTTGGTGGTAGAGATTTGTTTTTTGTTTGTCTTTTTGTTTTACCTATTAAGTTACCTTACAGTCCACTTAAGATTTAAAGTTTGGCTGTCCTTTTGCATCTTTGATATTTTAACTTTTAGTTTTTTGAGAATACTCTGTTCTTTAAAGTTTCTGTCTTGTTGCACATTTGTAAAAATCTTTAACCTCAGATTTCTAGTAAATTTCCTCTCTCTTAAAATGGCTTTCTTGTTAGCCCAGAAGTTCTCATTCAAAATTATCCATTTCCTTTTCATGTTTTACTATTTTAGAGTATTTGCATTGTGATTTCAGAAAGCTTTGGCTCCATTTATGTATCTCCCGAATTGCCCTCAGGGTTTGGACTGTTAAGAGTGTGAATCAGATAGTTACAAGGGATAGTAAGCATTTATCTGAGATTTTTTACTGGTTCTGGATAGAATGTTCCTCAGCCATCTCTGGTGTAGTTTAGAGATACTGTGAATAAAAAATGTGTACATTTCCAAGTCTGTTTCCTCAAATGCCATATTGATTTCCAGATGGATTTTCAAAAAAGAGTTACTAATGTAGTTGTAAAGTTACAGAAGAACAAAATCTTTTGAACCAAAATTAGATTTTTGTTTGTTTGAACTGGCTCCTTGGTCTCTGAAATAGGTATGTCCACTGAATACTTTTGTTGGCTATGTAGTAAATGGTTAATGAGCATCCTCATTATTGTGTTTTAGCTTTCATATATTACAAAGTTCATAAATATTTAATATTGTAATAAATTTGTCAAATGTTGGTTTTTTAATAATTGTCTTTCAGATACTGGAAAAACTACATCAGAAAGTTCTAACAGTTCATCTGATGCTGAAACAGAAGGGAAGGTAGGTAATAAATATCGTCTCTGAATGCTGTTTATTTGAGTATGTTAGTTCTGTGAACTTTAGTGTTGCTACATGTTGGATGACTTAGTTTTGTTAGTCATCCTTTGGGAGATTCATTCTCTGTGAAATTAATGTCTGACTAGTTGACATACCCAGGTTCCAGTCTAGCTTAAACAGTAAAAAGCAAACAGGGCACTTGGGTGGCTCAGTCAGTTAAACATTCAACTTTGGCTCAGGTTATGATCTCATGGTTCATGAGTTCAAGTCCTGCATCAGGATTGGGCTCTCTGCTGTCAGTTCAGAGCCCACTTCAGATCCTCTGTCTCCTTCTGTCTCTGCCCCTCCCATTCTCACACACTCAGGCTCGTGCACTCTTCTCTCTCAAAAATAAACATTAAAAAAAGAGAAAATTTTAGGGGAGCCCGGGTGGCTTAGTCGGTTAAGCGTCCGACTTTCGCTTGGGTCATGATCTCGCGGTTCGTGGGTTCGAGCCCCGCGTCGGGCTCTGTGCTGACTGCCAGCTCAGAGCCTGGAGCCTGTTTCAGTCTGTGACTCCCTCTCTCTCTGACCCTGCCCTGTTCACGCTCTCTCTCTCTCTCCTAGAAATAAATAAAACATTAAAAAAATTTAAAAAAAAAAAAAAAGAGAAAATTTTTTAAAAAGATGAAAGCAAACACTTCTTGATAAACATATTTCACATCCATACTTATTTACCAAATTAACTCAGACATTTCTTAGTCACACTATCAAATACCATATAGTATTTCCTGAGCTTCTCTTTCATAGTAGAATTAAATTAAACCATAAGGACTTATAAAATGTTCAGTCTGTAGCTTTTAAATGGTAATTTAAAATAATTTATTTTATTTTTAAAAAATATGTTCTGCAATGGAGGCAAAATCTTGTTTTTTTAACAACAACTTTTCAGGACGTAGAGAAGAAATTTGATTCTGTGATCGATCTGACAAAAGAAGCCCAATCAAAATGCAACACAGGTAAAGGAGTTGTCTTTCCTTCTTAACAAAGATGGAAGGTAACAATTCAGAAAGCATTTGATGGGTTTATAAAGTTTGTTTTAGTGTGTTAGTTTATGTGTGTGTATAGCTCTGTACAGTTTTATTACCTAGAAATTCATGTGATGGTCACCACAATCCATTTACACAACCATCTATGATGATACATATGTATCTTTTTGAGACTGGCTTCTTTTACTTACTTAGCCTAATTCCCTCAGAGGGTCATCAGAGTTGTGTATCAGTAGTATTCCCTTTTATTGCTGAGTAGTATTCCATGGTGTAGATGTATAATAGTTTGTATTCACTCATTGAAAGACATCTGTGTTGGGTGGGTCTATTATGAATCTCTTCTCTGGTAGACATCTTTTTTCTTTAGCTATACCAATAGCACTGCGAGAGGGAGCTAGGACATACATGAAAGTGTAGAGGAAAAGTAACAACAGTGCTCTCTTTCTCAGATTTAAGCAGAAAGAAGTAAAATGTAGTCATCTGGGGCTAGTTACAAAGTTTCAGCTCTTAACAACTGCACTTGAATGTTTTTGAAACTCTTGATAAAATCTTGAGATACTACTTATTAGCATTAGTAAATACTATTTTAAAATGGAGATTAGCATAGGAAATATATAGTCTAATTCCTTCTCTTTCAACTGTGGACCCAAGCAACGGTTGGAACCATTGAAATCTCCAGGTACCTCATGATAGAATTAAGAAACTCTTCAATTTCCAATTTAGTGATGAAAATTAGAAATATAAATTTGAAAATGAATTGGAGTCTATAATAATCAGCTGGTTTTTAATTAAGATTACAGATTGTCTCTAAACTACATGGTACAGGGTGTGAGATATAGTAAAAGAAGAAGTCAGAACACAGATTCATTCAGTGCTTAAAAAGATAAATCAGACCTCTAACTTAGGGGACTTCAGTCTGAAATGTAGCAGTTGGGCAGATAAAGTCCCTAGAGATACAAACATTAAAAAAATAGAATCATGGGGCGCCTGGGTGGCTTAGTCGGTTAAGCATCCGACTTTCGCTTAGGTCATGATCTCGCGGTTCTTGGGTTCGAGCCCCACGTCGGGCTCTGTGCTGACTGCCAGCTCAGAGCCTGGAGCCTGTTTCAGTCTGTGACTCCCTCTCTCTCTGACCCTCCCCTGCTCACGCTGTCTCTCTCTCTCCTAGAAATAAATAAAACATTAAAAAAAAAAAAAATAGAATCATAGCCAATAGAAAAATCAGTCTATTCGAAACAAACTTAGAAATGACAGACATGACAGAATTCACCAACAAGGACTTTGAAAGAGCTGATAGAAATCTGCCCAAAGTGGGGCACCTGGCTGGGTCAGTCAGTGAAGCATGCAACTCTTGATCTTGACTTTGAGCTCCACATTGGGGTAGAGATTACATTAAAAATTAAATTAAAAAAAAGAAATATGCTCAAAGATAAAAAGTAAACAGGAACATAATAAGAGAAATAAAAGATAAAAAATAAGACCAAATTAGAAAAAAAAAAGTGCTTAAAGTTCAGTGCCTGGGACAAACAGCATATTAGACCCAGAAGAAGGAAAACAGACATCAAAATCCAAGAAGCACAGAGAACTGCCATTAAATTCAGCAAAAGCTGGCCATCACCAAGGCGTATTGTAGTCAAATTCACAAAATACACAGACAAGGAAAGAATCCTGAAACTAGCAAGGGAAAAAATGTCTTTAACCTATCATAGAAAATAGATAAGATTTACATCAGATCTGTCCACAGAAACTTGGCAGGTCAGAAGGGAGTGGAATGATTTGTTCAACATGCTGAATGGGAAAAACAGGCAGCCAAGAATACTTTATCCAGCAAGGCTATCATTCAGAATAGGAGAGAGAGATTCCCATACAAGCAAAAACTAAAGGAGTTTGTGACCACCAGAACAGTCCTGCAAGAAATATTAAAGGGGCAGACTCTTTGAGTGGGATGGAGGAAAAAAGACCAAAAGCAACAGAGCAGAAAGGGACAAAGAACATCACTAGAAACACCCAGCTTTACAGGTAACACACACTAAATTCATAGCTTTTCAGTAATCACTCTGAATGTAAATTGACTAAATGCTCCAATCAAAAGACACAGGGTATCAGAATGGAGAAATAAAACAGGTCCCATTTATATATGCTGCCTACAAGAGACTCACTTTAGACCTAAACATATGCAGATTGAAAGTGAAGGGATGGAGAACCATCAATCATGCTAATGGATGCCAAAAGAAAGCCAGAGTAGCCATACTTATATCAGAATAACTAAATTTTAAATGAAACACTGAGATGAAGATGGGCATTATATCATAATTAAGGGATCTGTCCATCAAGGAGATCTAACAGTTGTGGGGCATCTGACTGGCTCATTCAGTTGAGTATCCGACTCTTAATTTTGGCTCAGGTGTCATGATCCCAGAGTTGTGAAATCGAGCTCCACTTTGGGCTCTGTGCTGGGCCTGGAGCCTGCTTAAGACATTCTCTATCTCTTTCTTCCCCCCTCCACTCCTCTCCCCCATTCACACGTGTGTGCTCTCTCTAAAATAAATAATAAGTTAATCAATAAATACAATAAATTAAAAACAAGATCTAACAATTGTAAATATTTATGCCCCCAACTTGGAAACCCCCAAATACACAAATCAATTAGTAACAAACATAGAGAAACTCACAGATAATAATACAATAATAGTATGGACTTCAGCAACCCACTTACAGCAATGGACAGATCATCTAAGCAGAAGATCAAAGAAACAATGGCTTTGAATGACATATTGGACCAGATGGACTTAACAGATTTATTCAGAACAATTCATCCTAAAGTGGTGGAATACACGTTCTTTTCAAGTGCATATAGAATATTCTCCAGAATAGATCACATACTGGGTCATAGATCAACCCTCAACGGTACAAAGAGATTGAGATCATACATGCATATTTTCAGACCACAGTGCTATGAAACTTGAACAACCACAACAAAAAATTTGGGAAGATCACAATACATGGAGATGAAAGAATATCCTACTAAAGGATAAAAGGGTTGGGGCATCTTGGTGACTCAATCGGTTAAGCATCCATCTCTTGGTTTTAGCTCAGGTCATTATCTCATGGTTTGTGAGTCTGAACCCCACATCAGGCTCTGCACCAAAAGCACAGAGCCTGCTTGGGACCCTCCTTGTCTTTCTGTCCCTCCCCGATTCATGCTTACTTGTGCTTTCTCTCAAAATAAATAGACTTAAAAAGATAAAGAATGAATGGGTTAACCAGGATATTAAAGAATTTAAAACTTAATGGAAGCCAATGAAAATTAATGCACAACAGTGTAAAACATTGGGGATGCAGCAAAGGCATTACTAAGAGGGAAGAATATTGTAATACAGACTTACCTCAAGAAGCAAGAAAAGTCAAATACACCACCTAACTTTACACCTTAAAGAGCTAGAAAAGGGACAGCAAATAAAGCTAGCAGAAGGGAGAGAATGAAGATTAGAGCAGAAATAAATGATAAGGTAACAAACAAAAACAGAAAAGATCAACAAAACAAAGCTGGCTCTTTAAAATAATTAATTGATAAACTCCTAGCCAAAGTTATCAAAAAGAAAAAAGACCCAAATAAATAGAATCACAAATGAAAGAGATCACCACAAACACTACAGAAATACAAAAGTTATAAGAGAATACTATGAAAAATATTGTGAGAATTTGCCCAATAGGGCAATGTGTAAGAAATTGACAAATTCCTAGAAACATACAAACTGCCAAAACTGAAACAGAAAGAAATAGAAAATTTGAACTGGCCCATGACCAGTAAAGAAATTGAGTCAGTAATCAAAAATCTCCCAACAAACAAAAGTTCAGGGCCAGATGGCTTCCCAAGAGGAATTCTAACAGACATTTAAAGAAGAGTTATTAACATAATATTAGTATCCCAAGGCCAGACAAACACCCCATCTAAAGGGAGAATTACAGGCCAATATCCATGATGAACATGGATCCAGAAATTCTCAGCAAGATGCTAGCACATTGAATCCCAACAGTACATTAAAAGAATTATCCACCACAATCAAAGCCCAGTTCCTGGGCTGCAGGGCTGGTTCAGTATTCAAAAATTAATCAGTGTGTTACACCACATTAATAAAAGAAAGGATACGAACCATAAGATCCTCTCAATAGATGCAGAAAAGCATTTGACAAAATACAGCATCCATTCTTGATAAAAACTCTCAACAAAGTAGATACAGATGGAATATAACCTCAATATCATAAAAGCCATATACAAAAGACCTACAGCTAGTATTGTCCTCAAGGGGAAAAACAGGGCTTTTCCTCTGCAGTCAGAAACAAGATAGTTTCTCACCATTCTCACTTCCAGACTCACTCAGAGTCTTAGCCTCAGCACTCAGACAACAAAAAGAAAGAAAAGGCATCCAAATCAGCAAGGAAGAAGACTTATGCTATCTGCAGACATGGTACTCTATGTGGAAAACCTGGAAGACTCCACCAAAAAAATTGCTAGAACTAATACATGAATTCAGCAAAGTTGCAGGTATAAAATTGACGGACAGAAATCTGTTACATTTCTATATGCCATAATGAAGCAGCAGAAAAAGAAATCAAGGAATCGACTCCACTTACAGTTGCACCAAAACCAATAAGATAACCTAGGAATAAACCTAACCGAAGAGGTAAAAGATCTATACTCTGAAAACCAAAGAGCACTTATCAAATAAACTGAAGAAGACATAATGAAATGGGAAATGCAGTCCCTACCAAAATACCACCAGCATTTTTCACAGAGATCAAACAAACAATCCTAAAGTTTGTATGGAAACACAAAAGGCCCTGAATAGCCAAAGCAATCCTGAATAAGAAAGCTAGAGACATCACCATTCCAGACTTTGAGCTATGTTACAAAGCTGTAGCCATCAAGACAATATGGTACTGGCACAAACAGAGACACATCTGGAACA